GAGCAATACCTGAATAATCAATAGCAACGACTCGTAGCTTTAGAGGTGATGTTTGCAGTAATGCAGCCTAACATGCTTGGAGAGAAGTCAGATACAACATCCAGCAAAGACAAGCTTTTGTTTCAAGTCAGCCAGCAAATTTCTCCTCTGGTATCAGCTATAGAGTATGATTTTATTTATTCACTTAATATTTTATGTATATTGTATTTATTGATTTGGTTTTAATGCTTATATTTCATTATATACTATAGCAGAATGTTAGGACTCAAAGGATGACCCTTGCTGAGGTTACCATTGATGCGTTATCTAATTATACACTTGATCATTTATCTAGAGGAAACATCATTACCATTAAGTCTAAGGATGGATTATTTGATCATCCTTCAGTTTCTTACATTGGAGGGCGTGAGATTGAGGCATTTTGTACCCTGGATAAAATATCAGCTTATGATATTATTGACTATGTGAGGTTAGCTTACAAATTTAAATATACAAATTCAATATCTATTAATCTATATTAGGGTATATTACTTACTAGTAATGTTGATTATTATCGTGTAGCTTCCTATATAGGATCAAGGTAAGACAAAATGACCCATAAATTTAGATTTGTTGACCCAAATCTGATTAGTGAGCAGAGTGACACTGTCATTATTTACGGTCATCATGTGGGTCAATACATGCAAAAATGGGTCGATTGTTTTTTGGTGTTTTTATAATGCTATGTAAGTTATATTCATACAACTTCAATAGACCAACCTTACCTGAATTTGAGATGGTACCTAATTTGAGTATATCATTCTTATTATTTTGCAATCATCATTGGTAGCTTGTTATGATTGATACTAATTCCTTTATGCCATACTTATTTAACTCTGCTCAATCAACGATGAAGCCTAACCTCGATATTCATAATTTTATAAAGAGCTATTAAATGTTATTATATTATATTATGTTTCTTCATAATTACTTTTATTTTTGTATTAACAACTTTTTTTTGTTCAATTTAGGGGAATGTCTACAATTGATAAGAAAGTAAAGATAAGATGGGTGTCATTACTAGTAAATGTGAAATTTATTCTTTTATGCTGAGTTTGTTTAGATAAATGTTTCCTAAACTTACTAGATTTATTTTTTAGGTACCTCGTTAACCAGGATATACTGAATGTGAATATTATATTTTTCATTTTATGAGGGAGATAGTTTTATATGATTTTATGACCACACCATTCAATGTTAGTATTGAGTCCATATAATACTAATATATTCCAATAAAAAAAGCTAAATTATGTTATCGTTTATTAACATTTACTTCTGATTTTTTTCTTTTAGTGGGAATGTAAAGGAAGCTTTATGAAAGACAAATTTGATGAAGTCTGTAAAGAATGGTCTAATTATATATTATTGTTCACTACACCTTGAGGTTGGAGAATGTTAATTGGGTGTAAATATATGCTTTATATTATTTATAATGTTTTTAACATGCTATGTTGAATAGATAATTTTTAATTTTCGATTGAGGTATTGGTTTAATAGTATTGGTATATATTTGTTTATATCAATTGGCAGCTTATACGAATACACATATATTAAGTATGATTATTTAAAAAAAGTATTTTTATATGGTAACATTATCAGTTATAAATTTGAATGTGTGGCATAATATTGAAATACTACAATGTTTATAATTTAAATTCCAAAATGTAATTCATAGTATCACAAATATGTATTTGATTCACATAAGTACGAATTTGATATAAATAAGCCCATGTTTAACAATGAAGCAGTGATTTGCATATTTACAACCTTCCATTTCCTGCCTTAATTAAATAAAAAGGTTTCCAAAATTATACAACGAATCTGTAAACAACATGTAGTGTATTCTACATGTGTTCAAAGGAGGAAAGTCAAATGATGGGTGATATGCATTACATTTGTTTAATTATTTACTAATGTAATTATTGTTAAATATAGTTGGCATCGTAAAGAAAAACTCAACTTTGTGATTTTCGTTCATCATATACTCACCAATGGCAAGTATTTCATCAGGTGTGAATTTTTTGAGTTGCATTATTTCATTGAAAGTGACTTTCTTCTATTTGTATGCTCCACTTCTGACTTAAAGTAAACTAAAATGTCCTCTATAATGTTCACAGGCCAATCATATAAAGCACTAATATTGCCAATCTGATGCACCAACCCAACGACTACTCCATCATTGCTCCTAGCACGTTTTTTACATGACAACGTCATCCTAGCATTGCTCGGAGTAATAGATACAATGTCATCTTCATCATCTGCTATCTCCTCATTTCCTTCGACATTGATATCAAACTTAGGAAAGTAGTAAGCATCCTCATTAGCATTTAATGATTCAATTGCATCAGCTACTATTTCAGGTCATTAACCGGTTGCTCTATCATATTCGAATATCACTTTAAAATCATCAAAAAATGGGAAAAGGTTTGTTCCATAACCCTCTAGCATGTGGGTGTGATTGGCAAAGTTCAAACAAAGATGAATCAAATAAAAACCATTGAAAAAAAAATAAAAAAGATATATAAGCCATAATATCATCTAAAAAAAACTTACCCGAACGCACTCATCAAATAAGTCTTTCTTAGCTATGATACATTTTTCTTGATCATTTTACCCAAATCCATTAGAATTTTCCATAGCACAAATTGCATGATATTGTCTCTTGAGCAGCTTTGAATAACCCCTTTCAATTTTATGAGTGGATTATTCAAGATATTTTCTAGAAAAAAAGGCATTGAATAATCCCTAATACAAAATTAAAAGGGATTATTCAAGGCATTTTTTGCCAAAAATATCTTGAATAATCACTTCATAAAAATAGAAGAGGATTATTGAAGACGTTTTGGCCAAAAATAGCTTCAATAATCCCATTAAATTTTATAAGGGGATTATTCAAGGCATTTTATGGGCAAAAATGCCTTGAATAATTCCTAAATTCTAAAATTTTTTAGAGATTATTCAAGGCATTTTTGTCCAAAAACTCCTTAAATAATTACCTCATAAAAATTGAAGTGGATTATTGAAGGCGTTTTTTACTAGAAACGCCTTGAATAACATCCATTAAATTTTTTGTTTTGGGAACTATTCAAGGTGTTTATAGGCAAAAATGCCTTGAATAATCTCCCAAAAAAAATGGCAAAGGATTATTGAAGGCAATTTTTGACCAAAAATACTTTGAATAATCCCTTACAAAAAAATTTAATGGAGGTTATTCAATATTTTCTGACAAAAAATTCAATAATACCCCCATAAAAATTTTTGGAGATTATTTAAGGTATTTTTTGCCAGAGACGCCTTGAATTTAATTTTTTGTAAGGGATTATTGAAGATATTTTTCATGCCAAACACCATATATAAACCAAATATTTTACTAGAATAAACCTACAACTAACTTGTATACATTTTTAGATATGCTTTTCAAAATGGTAACAGGTATTTCAAAATTTTTGTCAAGTCAAATTTGGAAATAATGTTATTTTTCTCTCGGAATCCAAGAATACCATAGGAAGAGGTGGGTTTTTTATTCCGCGACTTTGGGTATTGTTGGGAATATGTTAGATTTCCCCAAAATCAAATTACCCTAAACCATCAAAGACCCAACAATAAGATTTCGAAGAAAAATGTGTAGATTCTCTCGAACCAAATACCTCCTTATTATATTACATACATGTACAGCAAATTAGGTTTGGAGACAGTTTTAATATTAAGTTTTAGATTATAGATGAGGAAAGTTTTTAGTGAATAGATATTTTTTATCAACTGTTTGAATCATTCTTACTCCTATATTTATAGGGAACTTAATCAATGTGTTAATTTGTTTAACCGATTTCTCTATATATTGAATTTATATCTTTTAAAACTCTATGTATCATTTTTAATCTTTTACAAGTGAAAGAACACTTTATGAAAAGGTTAGATTCATTTGAAATGAAAGTGACACTTATAACTAAAAATTATCAAATATGAACTATAGCATTTGAATGCTCTTGGAGGCATTCAAATCCCCTTTTATAATTTTGTTTTAAGTCATTTTTTTATCATAAAATTAGACTGCCCAATCGAAAGCATTCGAATGCTTTAGTATAAAATCATGTCAAAAGACTTTTCAAATATGACATTCGAATCCCTTTAATCAAACATTCGAATCTTTTAGTATAAAAACATTTCATAACTTAATTTTTATTTTCAATTGATTCTTTCATGTTTTAATTCTAAACTTTCATATTTCTGCCGTTGAGACAGCATTTGTTGAGGTGTCTTCTCTCTCTATTTTGGTAGTTAATAATTAATGTTTATTATCATGAAATGAAAAAGGAAAGCTACATCAGATCAATTGATGAAATAGCTAAATTTGATCATTAAACAGTTTGATCTGTCAAGTGCTCAGAAATAACCAAGAAAATCCGATTCTACCATAATTAAGGATTTCTATCCTGACAAAACAATGAAAAAATTCACCTTAAATAGCTTTGTCTTCCAGTGTTCAGCACAAAAATTGTTGTAATCCATCACTTTACAAACCATGGTAAGAAATAAAAACTCCAGATTTCAACTTTAATCTAACTCTTAATTTACTGATGGAAAATCCTTTTTTTTTTTTCGTTCAGGATCCATCATCAATTGCATATGTTATTTGCCTGGTCTCACTGATCACAATTTTTGTTACTGCAAAAGCACAGCGAAATGTGTTCAACGTTCTAAGTTATGGAGCTGCTGGCAATGGCCTTACTGATGATTCCTTGGTAAAATTTTCTACTTTTCAGCCTGTGAAATCTTAAATTTGCAGATATGTATGAGTTGTTCCATATTATTAGTACTGATTACTACAAATTTTCTAATTTTTTCGGACGTAGGCGTTCATGAAGGCGTGGAAGGATACATGTAGTGCTGCAGCAGGCACTCCTACCTTGATTATTCCCAAAGGAAAAATATTTTTCGCTGCATCAGATTATATTCACAGGCCCCTGCAAGTCTAACAAAATAAATGTCAAAGTACGATAAAATTAACAAAATTAAGAAACCGAAGCTTATCTAGTTGGTTCATAGTTCATACAGCTATCATTATGAGGAGGCAATCAGCATGTGTAGAGTTCAATTTTCAATACCTGCAATCCCTTTCATGTCATCCGTCTATAGCTTCCTTTATATCAAAAAATTAATAAAATTAATAGCACTCCAAAAGCTTTCCTACTTCCTGGTAATACATCAGTAAATTGGCATGTGAGATATAATCAAAGATGGATCATAACTCATGAGAATAGATAATATGATCTTCAATTCTCCAGGATTCGTATTCTTCCGCAATCTAAATTTCTGTTGCAGCTATCAGGAACTATTATCGCACCCAATGGTCCTGATCAGTGGAAGGCAGCCGATCTGTCAACATGGTTAGCATTTCAGGGTGCAAACGGTCTTACTATTGATGGACTTGGGATGGTAGATGGACGTGGCAAAGGCTGGTGGGATCGCTCATGCAAATTTCATCGTGGTCAGCAGGTATACTGCAACATCAAAATCGCAGAAAACACAACCAAACTTAAACTTGTGAAGTTCCATACTTCCAGTCATTTTAATTCCTTTTCTTTTTCCTGCTTTTTCCTGATTCCATTTCTGACTGTTGAACTTCTCCGCATGGATGTATCACACTAGCACCAACGGTAAGTACGTTGAGAGGATTAGGTCCAGGCAAAACTCGAATCCAGAATTTATTACTACAACTCTAGCTGTCATTATCTGCCTAGTTATTGTAGAGAAGGCAGGTTAGTATATTACTATATTATGTTTTGCTGCAGGTACTTAAACTTGAGAATTGCAACAATATTCACATGAGCAACATTAAGTTTCACAACAGCCCCCAAACACACGTACTGATCTTGGGATGCCAAAATGTTGATTTTGGATTCTTGACCATACAAGCTCCTGGAACAAGCCCCAACACTGACGGAATACACATTCAGGTTTCTCGTAATGTGTCCATTCACAATTCACAATTTGCTGATGGTGAGTTGATTGCTTTATGTAAATGCTTTTGATTTAAGGTTTTGCATTTGAGAACAGGAAAGGCAAAGAATTACTACAGCGAATTCACCACATTCTACAATGGAAAAACGGCATACATGGTGTTTCAAACTCAATGTAGGACACTGTCTGTTGGTATCCGAAGCGCCTCTAGGACTTTTCTCTATTGATAGATTGGAATCTAATTCCCTGGTGTTTACTTTATAAATGTCTTTGACAAACATTAAGCTAGGTAGTAATTGAATGAGTGCATGACTGTCAAGTTGATGATTAACGGCTTCATTGTTGATGAACAGGTGATGATTGTATCTCCATTGGTGATAGGACTTCTGACATCTCCATCACTGACATTAGTTGTGGCCCTGGTCATGGTGTGAGGTAAGCAAATTTTTTGTTCAGTCTTTGACGTCACTGGGGATTAAATCGATCATTGGAACAAGCCCAACACTCCTAATTTTAATGCCTAACAGCATTGGAAGCCTAGGCAGGGGCGGAGCGGAGGTTCAAGTAAATAATATTAATGTGAGGCGAGTAAACTTCCGAGGGACAACTAATGGGGTACGAATCAAGACGTGGCAGGTATGAAATTTGTAAAATAAAAAAAGAAAAGAACAAAACCTGTTGACCAACGAAAATCTTGAGTTAAATTTGTTTTTGTTTTGCAGGGAGGCAGAGGTATAGTTCGAAACGTATCTTTCTCAAACATAAACTTCCGGGCAGTGGCAAATCCAATCATCATTGATCAGTTCTACTGTGATATTCCAAATTCGTGTAGGAAATCGGTAAGACACATACAGAAGCCTTTAGAACAACTAAAAGCATTACAATTTACATGTACGGAGCTTGTTTTATTGTTTGAATTTATACTTTGAATTTTGACAGAACACTGCAGTTCATATCAGCGGTGTACGATACTCTCAATTGTTTGGGACATCAAAGACAAAAGTGGGTATCAATCTCAATTGCAGCAGTAATGTTCCATGCACCGGCATTACATTAGAGGACATTCATTTGGCATCGGCAACTTCAGACAGCCAATTGATTTCTAGCTGCAACAACGCCTTTGGACTGAATAGAGGAATTATAGATCCCAAATCCTGCCTCCGGAAAATAATTTGAGAGACAATATGATTGTACATTCAAATTTCCTTCTAAAAATAAAAACAGAAATAAAATGTCAAAATTCAATTTTATTAAATAAAATAATGGATACAAATTTCTATATGATCTTTTTTACAGAAGAAAATAATCTTCTGATTCGATCTTATCAAAAACAAAAATGATATTCTAATAAAATGATTGGGAAATCTTCAAAACGACGTTGGTTGTGATAGAAAACAAGCTTGTGATTTTTGTGAACAAAAGCTTGATCACGAACTGGCAAAAATAAGCAGATCTTTAAAGAAATGACCAAAGCCTTATGATTTCTTGGTTGGTTATTGAATTTCAGACAGCTTGAGTAATCTTCAAAGATGAGCAGCAAATCTTGAATGTGTGAGAATAAGGCTAGAGTGTTTCTTCTTTGCATTGATCTCCAGATCAGTTGGAAGAACTCTCTATTAATAATGCTAGGTGTGATATAGTGTGAGAAAGTTCTAAAATAATTTAATCATTTTGATTTTTTCTGTAATAATTTTAAATTAATTAAAGATAATGAAGATGACTCATAGAATTTAATTAGGTGATCTATGAGTCCTTAATTTTGATTAGTCTAACTTATGTTTTTATCCAGATATACCAAGTAATTTTAATAAATATTCAACCAATTTATTTAACTAATTAAATATTTAATTTAATTTATTTAAATATTTTCATCAAATTTTCAATGTCTACAGCGGTTAATTTTATATATAGCAAGCATGGATTTTCGTCATCCACGTAACCTGCATTAATCTTTTGAAAGCATTGGAAAATTGATTGGTGCAATTCTTCGGTAATTAAATTTTTAGCTTACGCAAGGTTCAACCTTGTAATCTCTGCACTTCTTAAATTACTCCAAATTAGGGAAAGATTTAACTGAAATTTCTTAGGTGAATTTAGTACAAACTTTTCTAGAAACGATTAAATAAAAATCAAAATTAAAAATCAAAATTGATAGATTAAGAGATCTCCTAGTTATATAAATTAAGTATGAAAAATTTGAAAAAAAATTGATATATATTTTTGGATAGACATTTAAAAAAAATATTGATAAAATTTTTATTTTTTAAATAAATATTGGTCAAATTTAAATTATAAATAACTTTTTTTAATTTGTTTTACATATTATTGATATCCATATTAAATTCTATTAATCTATTGGTTTCGATTTTTTATTAAATCATTTTTAAAAAACAATTTCATAAATTTTACTAAAAAATTTCATATAAAGTTTGTCCATCCAAATAAGCTACGTTCACTTATCAAAGGTTGGCTTAAAAGTCCAAAATTGAGGCATCCTATTAAATTCGTAAGAAGCACATTACTTTAACAATGTTTTCATAATCGAATAACAGGATGATTGTATCTCTAGATTGGAGAATATCTTTCAAACATTAATGTGAGAAATTGTTTTTATAATTTATGATTGAGAAATTTAAATACAAATATGGACCGACAAATTAATGTAACTAATGTCTAAAATTATCTTTAAATCGATGACTTGAAAATCAAAATACTTTTTTTTGGTATATAAAAAGTCAAGGTTTAAAAGAAATTGAAAAAAAAAATTACAAGTATTGAGTATTAAATATCAGTTTTGTTAAAAATCATTTTAAACAAATAATGAATCAATATCACACCTTAGTTTGTTAATTTTAAATTACGAGAGCTGAAAATTATGGAAGTTAAGTAGTTATACTTAAAGAAAAATAAGTCAAGCAAACATACAGATATTTTATTACTGAACAATTTTTAATTAATTTTTATTTGATTAGATTTATTCATAAAATTTGATAACCTTAACACTTTTTGAATGGGTCTAGTTTGGAATTATACATTAAAAAAAAAAAAATTTGAACTTCAAATTACAATACCTATAATCACTTCTCATATTCTCATGTTAGGGTCTCTTTTGCAATATATATATATATATATATATCATCTATCGTCTATATATAAAAGTATGAACTCTAAAAATATTAAAAATGAACGATATAAATATTCTTATGAATTTTAAGAAATAACCAATTTACCTTTAAATTTTTAGCATTTTTATTTATTTAATAAAAATTATTTGTCATTAAATATATAGCTTTTATTAGTTAGTTATTTAAATTTAAATCTAAAAGTGTTAAAAATGAATAACATAAATACCTTTATAAATTTAAAAAATAAAAAATTTATATTTCAATTTCTAGCATTATTTATTTATTTAATAATTATTATTTGTCATTAAATATATAGCTTTTTATTCATTAGTTATTTAAATTTAAATCAATTTAAAATTTACAAATAAAATTTATATCAAATTAAATTACATTAAAAATTTATTTGTGGGATATGGTGGATTTGTTGTCCAAAATTAACTCAAATTTACTCTCATCTTTATTTTTAGAATTCTTTTTTGTTAAATTTCATAAGTAATAATTCAATCAAATTCAATAAAATAATTTTCTCATCCTATGTCTGTGAAATACTATGAATCCTTAATATTGAACAAAACATAGATAAAATCTTTTCTCTGTTTCTCAATTACTAATTGTTATAGTCTAAATTATTAAATCATAATGTGTATGCCCCAAAAACATTTAACTTTATCTTAAGTAAACCATATAATTTTTCATTTTCAAGATACAATTTAATTTACTCTTTATCTTTTTTAATGGTACATATCATGAGTTCTTAAATATATTTATATTTTTTATTTATTTATTTTAGATTAATTAAAATTAAAGTTCATATAAAATTATAAATTAAATTATCAAAAAATTGTTAAAAAATAGTAATACACGTATTATGGTAAGTTTATATGTTTAATTTTTTTTTTATTTTTATGATAAATGTACATTTATTTGTTTAATGATTGCAATTGTTGATCATAATATTTCTAATCACTCTATGCAATCATGCCTTAACTTTACAATGCCTAAATGAATATTTACTTTATGAACATAATCTCATGTACCCTTGAATTGTTACTAAACTTAGTTTTTATTTTATCTTGTATAGATTGATTCTATACTACAACAAAATTAATTTCGGTTTATCCTTATATTTTTTATATTTAATTTCAAATATTTTGTGCTTAAGATATTTTTATGAAACAAAAGACAATATTGTTAAGAAACATTAATGTTGAAGAAAATAAATTATTTAACATACTATTGGTTGAGTTTTTTTATTTCCACAAGCAGGTTAAGAAATTAACGCATCACTCACTTTTTTTAAATAGTTTTTTTTAATATACTCTAAAGCCTAAAGGGTATATATCACGCTGCTAACTTTCTGATGCCTCAAAGATTCTCGAATATTCATTTTCGAAAAGACTCAAAACTTTTTGGATATCTATTTTCAAGAAGTCTTGAGTCTTCTCAAGAATGAATATCCAAAAAGCTTTATGTCTTCTCGGATATATATTTTCAAGAAGCTCGATTTCGCTTTTAATAATTGAAAACCTTAATCATGCGCTTATAAACCTATTTACTTAATCATGTGTACAAAATGAACTGAAATCGATGTTCTCAACATGTATGACATAAACTTATTCTTTCTCTTGAGCCTTCAGAAAACCTAGAATACCATTTTCTGGTTTTCTAGGTGAAAATGTATTCTTGGTTTTCTAGTCTTAAGACAAAAACTCCTTTATGCCCATTCATGCTTGAGAATTAACATGTCTCTTCCATTCGCACATATGATCAAGTAAGAAAGGGCACATCGAGGACTCATATGTGTGCATACAAGTTAGTCCAAGCTCGAACACCCTACAAAACATTGACTCTGACAATGTCATCAATAGATTGACAAATCTGACAATAAAGACTTTTAATATTTTGACCACCAAGATACTGGTGGCCTAAAGATTAGAGATCTCTATTGTCAAAATTAAACCATACCTTGAAGAAATCTTTAAAGATGTTTGGAGATCCTAGCACATCATATTTATCTATTTTAGTATTATTTATTTTAAAATTAAATGTATTTATTTTATTTAAATTAAAATTAAAATGTTATTAAGGGTTTATAATTAAATATATATTTAAACAAAATTTTATATATTTTCAAAAATGGATTTTCGAGAATGAATATAATTATCAAAAAATATAATTCTCGAAAATTAATTTTCAAGAATTAATTGCATTCTCGAAAATTCATTTTCGAGAATTATATTGCTTTCTCATAAATGGATTACCAAGAACACAATATAACTCTCAGAAATCTACTTTTGATGTTTATGAAGGTAAGGATGTATAAGCTATTGAAAGTATTTTTGTCTTTTACTGAAGATTAAAATTGGTATTTGCTACATGGTAATTTTTGGAAGAAAATTTTAAGGGTGTATAGAGAAAATTTTGGAGTGTATTTAGAAGGCTATTTTGGAGAACGATTTAGTTTTTTTACTTCCCAAATTTGCTCTTCAAGTTACTTTTAGGGGGCGTTTGGTTCGCAAAATCATAGATTCCAGGAGAAAAGTGTGATCTCCAAGAAAATGAGATACCCAGGGTTTTTTTTCATTTTCAAGGCATCTCGTGTTCAGATTCACTAGTTTGGTTAGGAAGAATCCACATATATTAAATCCAGGATAATTACTACAATCTTGTTGGAATAATTACTATAATCTCTAATTTTTATGAGGGGATTATTAAAGGTGTTTTTGGCCAAAAATGCTTTCAATAATCTTCTTTTTTTTTTTTTAGATTATTCAAGGTGTTTATGATCAGAAAATGTGCAAAGACGCCTCCAATAATCCCTTTATTTTTTTTTTTTTGGATTTTTCAAGGCATATCTAGCCAAAAATACTTTCAATAATCCCCTTTCAATATTTTTACTATTATTCAAGGAGTTTTTAGCCAATAATGCCTTGAATAACCTTATTCATTTTTTTGAAAAGGAACATTCAAGGTGTTTTTGCCTAGAAAATGCCTTAAATAATCCTTTACAAAAAATTGAATGAGGTTATGAAGGTGTTATTGGCCAAAAATACCTTACATATTCTCTTACAAAAAATTGAATAGGGTTATTCAAGGTGTTTCTGGCCAAAAACACCTTGAATAATCCCCTCTCAATTATTTTATGGATTATTCGAAGTGATTTTAGCCAGAAAACAACTTGAGTATTAGCTTACAAAAAATTGAATTGGGTTATTAAAGGTATTTCTGATAAAAAAATGCCTTTAATAATCCTTTCAATTTTTTACTAGGGAATTATTCAAGGCATTTTTGACGAAAAATGCCTTGAATAATCCCTTCTAATTTTTTTGGGGATTATTCAAGGTATTGTTGCCCAGAAAATATCTTGAATAATCTTCCTCATTTTTTTAGGATTATTCAAAGTGTTTTTGACAAAAAATGCTTTCAATAATCCCTTCCAAATTTTTT